GACAGAATATCACAAAACAGATCTCACAGGATGTGTTAATCATTCAATGTACAGAAAATACTGAAGAATAATACTAACATCATTAAGAATTTAACTACTACTAATCTGTATTTTGGTCCTGAAACTTCAGGAGTTTTCTATATGACAAAGACCCAGAAACTATTCTGTTTTTTAATATAGAAAATTTGAGAAACACAGAATAGTAGAAAAAAATTTCAAAAAAAAATGTCTCCATTTGATTCTTCTGTGAACAAGTAGGTACCTATTTAAGGAAAAAAACAGAAGATAAAACATCGCAAATTACTTCCACTGGGGAAAAAAAATCTTCTATAACTATCCTTGATAAAGAACTCACCACCGCCCCTCCCCTAAAACACTAAAAATCAATGAAGACAACCAAAAAGGACATAAAGCTGAAAATACAATATGATCATTTCCTCTAAAATAAGAAAGTAAAACATTTCTTTATTCTGTAGTTTAAGCAAAGTTAAACTGAAGCTTTATAAGCAACAGGAAAGTTGTTTTGTTTTTTAACGTCCCCAATCTTTGCAGGTGGAACTAAAATGCTGCTATTGTTTTGAGATTCTTTAGTATCCATGAGACATTAAGGAGAAGAAATTATACATCAACTTGAAATCAAGCATAAATTGATTACTTGCTACTTTCCAGATCACCTTAAAACAATGCAATTACTAAGTATGTGTCACAGGCTCACACCAATATATTTATTTATCAATATTTGACAGACTTCTGGTTCTTTGAATATACAAATTTTGGTATCACTTTAACATAGGATGACAGTGAGTATTCTTTAAAATTAAGTGTAGCATTCTGTGGCCTACTATAATATACTCGTTTAAAAGAACTGGCAGTTTGGAAATTTTTATTCTTCAAATACTACATACTATTTTCCTTTCCAAATGTATTATTCTTTCCAAATGTATTCAGAACACAAAGTAATCAAAAAGTTTGCCAGAGCAGGAGTTGCATATTCTACCACCATTTCTCCTTCCAATATAATGTACTCAGCACAAGAAACTCAGTTTTGATTTAAGACAGTTTACCTGAAGTTTGAAAACCTTCCATTCTTAAAACGCCTACTGTGTACAGGGCAAGAGGTGCTGGGGATAAATTTTTAAGCAAAAGAGATTCAATCCCTGCCCTCACATAGTTTTTAGTCTAATGATTGTTAAGAAACAATCACGTAACTTTATTTCTACACATATGATGAACACTATGAAGGAAAAGTAGGGGTGCCATGAAGTATGTGAAGACCTGATCTACTATGATAGATGAGGAAAGGCTTCCCTGAGGAAGTTATGATTGAGTTAAAAGAAGAGTGTTATTAGATAGAGATAACTTAGCAAAGGGGGAGGAAAAATGATTCCAGGCAGGGAACAGAGTATGTGCAAAGACCTCGAGGAATAAGGAATTGAAAGAAGGTCAGCCAATATAATTCATGAGAGCTGTGGTTGTAGAGATACTAGGAAGGTTACTGCAGTCCAGGTGAGAGATGATGGTAGCTGAGATTAGGAGGATAGTAATGAAGGTAAGAGAAAAGAAGAAAGGTTCAAGAGATATTTAGGAAGAAATCAGCACTACACTGAAGTCATGGCTCGTTTAGTAGAGTTTTAAAGATGACAGACATTGAGATTTTTCAGTTATGAGACTAAACAGTAAAGAAACAGAATTTGAGCTTATCTGGTGCTGCCCAATGAGTTGGATTGCTACTGCCACCAGGTTCCCTAATAGCAGCAACATCATAACAAGGTTAATTTTAGGAAGTGTGCCAGAGGGCTGTGACCAAGACTACAATAAAATCAAATATGTATTTAAAAAATAATTATTTACTATAGGTCCCACCTCCCAACTGTCAGAAGGGTCAAATTTTATTTGTCAGATACTTGCAATACATACTTGCAATATCACATTATATCACTTATTTTCTCTCCTTTGTACTTCTGTGAAAATAAGATTTCAAGACTTAGGGGAATGACGGAGTGGGAATTTGTAGTATTATGAATCAACTCTCAGTATAAATTTATAAAATAACATTTTTTTATCAGGAATATCATATCTAAGAATATTAGGGGGAAAAAGTCAACCACCATTATATCTTAAAGATGTTGCAATGTCAGAGAAACAAATGTCATTTTATAACATAAGATATCAATGTTCAATATGTATAGTTAGGAACAGCAACTTCCACATAGGTAGCTTTTTTGATCGGGAAAAAATAAGACATGTGCACTCATCAACTCTATTCTTTTCCTTGTTTCAGAAAATGGAAATTTCCACAAATCTTCTTACTTGCTGCTTTACGTAACCATATAATCAAAGCTCTGCTAAATCCAACAGTAAGCTTAAAGTTAACAGGAAGCCTATAGTGTCCCCTTACAAATGAACTAACACTATTTCTCAAATACCCCAGTACTGGAATTTGATATTTAGCTCCCTTACTTCCATGAAGCAGAAATTTTAAATAAATGACTAAGGTAAAATAATTTCTAGTGTTTCACTTTAACATACTAGTTCTCTTTCATAGGCCCAGCCTAAACCCCACACATGGGTGGACCTTAAGATAGTATGTTCTAAAATCTATTTTCTCTCTTTCCTTCTTGCTATTTATAGTCCCACGAAAAATTACTTTCCTTAGTCTTACATGGTCCAATGTATGTGTATTCTCTCTTGGGTACTATCAGAACAACATGGCATGCTTGTAGCTTTACAAATTTTCTGACATGCTATGCTAAGACACAGTAATTAGCACCATGGTCCTAAACGCAATAGGAGAATCCTAACAGGGATACTAGCATGAAAAAGAAACATCACTTAGTAATAACCTAAGCTGAGCAATGTATAAGTCAACAGATGACAAAGACTTTCTTACTAGTAACCTGTAACATAACTGGTAAAATATAGAAATGTACATCTTATTTATGCCTCTATAATCTTTGAGTTGTTAGTAAAAATGTCACATCTGCAATGACAGGGAGATACACTGAATTACTAATTTAGTAACTGATCTCTAAAACTGTCAATAAATCAGTCATAGAACTTCAGGGGAAGAAGAGACCTTAGTGAGTATCTAATATATCTCCTCATTTTACAGATAAAACAATAAGGGACAGAGAGGAAATGTAATGAGATCTTATACCTGATTTCTAGAAAGTAAAAAAATATATAAACACTGTAGCATTACAGAACCCAGGTCTGGCTTCCTATCTGTTACTCTGTCCATGTCTCCAAGTTTAAAAAAAATTTTTTTTGATATACATATAGATTGAAAGATACGTAAATTCCTGAATAGGTCCTAATTCCTGATGATACCTTAACCAGAGAAACTGTAAGGACAAGCAAATTTATATTTCTTTTTTAAAAACACTGTGTATCATACTACATATTTTCTTTTATTAAAACTTATTATTTTTTAAAATTTATTTTACTTTTATTTTTTTGGTTGCTGGCAGGTACGGTACAGGGATCTGAACCCTTGACCTTGGTGTTATTAGTACCATGCTCTATCCAAGTGAGCAAACCAGCCAGACCTTTTTAAATTTTAATTTATTCATATTTTCTTTTCTTTTTTTTTTTGGCAGCTGGCCAGTACAGAGATTAAGCTCTGGGCCTTGATATTATCAGCACCACATTCTAACCAACTAAGTTAACTGGCCAGCCCCAGTTAACTTAGTGCATATTTCATCTCAAACATACCATACAACAACAAACCCTCTAGACACATACACAATCACATAAACATAGCACATTAAGCTTAAGGCTAATTATTTTCAAAATTTTTATAATTAAGTTTAAAAAATATATAAATAGTTTTAAAGAAGAAAAGAAGCATGCTGCTCTAAAGATAAGTCAAAGGGAGAAGAGTAAATCCTAGTTTTGCCTCAGTGATGTCCAAACTTCAGAATGAGAAATCCAACCTCATGATTGGATTTCTAATCATTACCTACAGGAGCCTCAGGTTTTCTGCATCAAGAACCCCTACTCTTGCTCCCTCCTCAAAATGCCTCCCCAAATGACTACTCAACCACATGGCTGGCACTCCCCAAAGCCTTCAGGGAAACTTAGTCACCCAGGGATTGCTTTGTGGCCCCCAAAATGAATGTTTATAATATTCTCTAGACAAAGCTTTGGGAATCAGGAATAAAGGTCTCTTTAATTTCTTCTTATCAATGGAAAAAGCAGCTTCCATTGATCTTTTAAGATAGGCCTTTTGAGAACTTCATATGAGATTAATCTTTGGAATTCACTGGCTCCCTGAAACAAAAACACTGAAGAGACAGCCAGATACTACTAAAAGTTTTCAAAAATGGATGTCAACTATGTCTGAGTACATCCAGACAAGCATATTCTAAAGGATCTGTTCTGCTTGAAGAAAAATATTTTTTATTTTTGCTTTAAGAGCCCCCTTACCAATCCAATCTGATCAATAAATAAGAAGCAAAATTTCCACAGTATGGTCTTCCCCTTTCTCCTTAAACAATAAATAGTCCATGCCCAATAACTTCTTACTCTACCTAAATATTTCTATTCCTTTACAAAAGCCCTTGATTCTGTTTTATACCCTGCCAAAGCTATTTCTGATTTTTTAAAAATTCTTCTTGGACCATCCCAAACTTGGACAAAACAATAAAAGCCGGCCTGATTACTTTTGGCAAGTGACTACATGCATGGATGCATGCTGCCAAGTCTCTCAACTCACTGTCTTCAGTCACAGACCTCCCCATCTTATTAACCCCAGCAAGAACTTCTTTGGTTGTCTTTCCAGATTCTATTTCTTCCCTTCCACACAAAGTCTGCATTATGATTCACAGACTTTATATTTTAAAAGAACCAAATCCTCAGGGTGGTGGTAAAGGAACCCATTTAGTGTTGCTCTAGAGTTGGTATTAGAGGAGAAATTCAGGTCAGCAGGGCTGGCACTTCTGCCTGAGTTTGTGCTCCTTCCCTCCAGTACCCTTTTCTGAATCTCCCCAGCTTGTTACCTGTTGGCAGTGCTGGTGTTGCTGCTCCCATTGCTGTGTTTCTGTGCCCGACTCAATCTCCGTGGGGGCTTTGAATGCTGCAGCCGGGGGCTCGGCATGGAGGGGAAGGAAGAGGCATAGCCATGTTCACACTCTGAGGAGGGCAAGAAAAAAAGAAAACAAGATATGATAAGAACAGTTGTGAGAAGAATATACCCAAATCCAGAGATTCACAAATCCAAGGTCCTTGCAGTAACAGGTTTTTGAAAGCAGAAGAGATCAAATGTTTCCACTCTTTGGTTAGAAGATAAAAATCCCAGCTCTTGCCTGTACATCAGTTTTGCGACATATACAGACCCAACCCAACGCCTGCAAAGTGTACTGATACCTCACCTGAACTAAATAATTTCTCGAACTATTTTTGACTTAAATATCCCCCCATCTGATACCAGTTACCATTCACTGCAATGACTTCATTTGCCTCAAAATTCCATTCCTTTTACTCTCTCCATTCTAGACAGTGTCCCTGTAAGCCCCACATTTTTGTGTATGTACTTTCAAATAATTCAATCACCTAGTCTCAGAAGGACCTGTTCTGTCCCGACACCACAATTCCCAAAGTTCCTGCTCTGCATACCCCAATCTCTACACCTTCTTTGGTCTCCATCCCTAGAGGGATTCCATTTCACCACACCTCGGATCTCAGTGGCGCTTTCCCGCAACTGTGTGCCCGGTGCCCACTCTTCATCAGGTATCCTGGCTCTCTCACAGCCAATCCCCGTCCACCCACACCTACCCAGCTTCCGGCCCTTCCTTCAGTTCTCTTTCCTCCTTCATCTCAAGAACTCAGACTCAACCCCGCACTGTCAACACCCTCTCTCCCTCTCCTCTGGTCCTCTCACCTCTGCCTGCCCGAGTCCCACCCTCCTGCCCCTGATACACCCCACCTCTCCCAGCACCTTCCGCATTCCCCTGACGGCCGCTCACAGCCCCTTCACCCTCCACGCACAAACACATACGCCCACACACCTCACCTCACACACGTGCACGCACATACACGCTTCCGCTCACATGTGTGCGGCCTCCCACACCACCTCCACTTACAAACTCACACAGCCCTCCCCTCGCACGGACTTCCTGTCACGCGCACCTCCCCTCACGGGCAACCACCTCACTACTCCGCGACATCACACACGCAAGCATCTCCACACACACTCATGCACCTCCACACGCGCACATATCCACACATGCGCGCCCTCCACACGTGAGCCTCCACACACGCCCGCACATCTCCACACATGCGCACATCCATACGTGAGTCTCCACACGCGCCCGCACATCTCCACACGCGCGTACCTCCATACGCGAGTCTCCACACACACGCGCACCTCCACACGCGCCCGCGCACCTCCACACGCGAGTCTCCACACACGCCCTCGCACCTCCACACGCGAGTCTCCACACACGCCCTCGCACCTCCACACGCGCCCGCGCACCTCCACACGCGAGTCTCCACACACGC